GTGAACGTGGGAGGGTCGTTACAAATGAAAAGTATGCTCATAACTGCATAAATAATGGCACTTAAACGTGGAGAAGTCAGTTACAAAACTAACTGGCTGAGCTCCTTCTTCCGAGCCACAGAACGTGTCTCGGAAATGGAGGATGCCAGTTGGGCTTTGTTTTAATTTTCTACCTTCAGTTATAAGTTCTAGGGGTTATAAATGCCTCTCTATCACCCATATGCAGGAGGACCAAGCAGATTCTAGGCAAAGACTTTAGCATTTTGGCGAATTTCGAGCAATAGAAAGAGAGTTTTCATTCTTTTCAAGTGCTTTCAGGAGATTTTGGTGATTCCTCGAGATCTAAGATTTGACTTGATCTTGAGAAGAGTGTTCATCTTACACCGATAAGATATTCACTTAAGTCCTTGTTTCTAAAACGAAACATTAATACCAAGTCTTCTTCACGATTCAACCTGGATCTGTGATTCAGTCGTCCACAGGCTAACGCACCCTTGACACAGGTAAAAATCACACGCAAGAAGCAGGTGATAAACGTCCTCTACATGTGTTTCTAGAGAGTTGTATTTTCTTTTTTTTTATTCGTGTAAGAAAGGTCTTATAAAAAGACTAATTCTTTTGAACTTGTTGTAACGATTAAAGTTGCAATGAGTTTCATAAATAAACCAACTTTCGACGCAAACACTTACCTCCATAAGAGAATAGTACAATTGTATAGCAATTGGGTAACCATAGCCTATTAAATTTTAAACTCCAACCGCTATAAACGAGCATAAACGGTCATATTTTTATAATGGCTATAAACATAGCTCAATTCCACTATCTTCATGAATATATTTTTTTTTCCAGGCAAGAATCCTCCAAACAAAAGAATTCAATAGTTTATATGGAGAGGCAAAAATGGTGTAACTGTAAAATCTTGACATCCTTGAAGCAATGCAAAAATAGTAAAAATATTAGCCATTACTATTGGGTTGCGCTAAGTATCCAAAGAAAGAATATAATTTCTTTTAATTGGCTTATGATGATGGTAATTGCATGAAGAGTATCGATAATGGTTAAATTACATCCCAATCTCAGTTATGCCTCCACCATGATATTTATTACAATAATCTTCCTACATTTTAATTCCAATTTGATCCCTCTTTGCTCTCAATTCATTCCTTGAATATATTCACTCTCTTTGCGTCATATATAGTTTGAGTTAAGTCAAAAACACCATCTTCACCCACATTAACTATTTCATCACCATCCTCTTCAATGAAATTATTCTCATGCAACAACTCATCACCTAGATCTTCTATGACAATATAGTTACGAAGTATAGTACATGCAATAGCTATATCAACTTGAGTTGGGAAAGGGTGATGTGGCTTCACAAATAGGATTTTGAAATGATTTTTTAGTATTCTAAAAGTTTCAATTGTAGACCTTAGATATTCATAAATTGAACAACTTTGTCTATTATTGAGTGGTCTACCCACGTGCTCATTTAAATAATAACGCACACCTCGATATGGGGAGATAAAGCCAGACATAGTAATGTAGTCCAAATCACACAAATAATATTTCCCTATAATTACCAAAAAGAAATTTAGTAAATTTTTTAATTTTAATTAAATAGACATAATTAATTTGAATGATTTATTATCGTCATAGACTCTCAATTCGCAAGGTTGTGGTCTAAATAGCGCGTCTTACAAAACTCTATAATAATTTATGGATCCCTCCCGTCCAACTAGAACATACAAATATAACTTATTGGAGTAGCTAGAACATTTTGAGTTACACCTTTACGACCTCTAAAATGTGAAACAAGTCTAGCAGGCAGTTGCATTTCTAAAGTAAAGGTTTTAGTCAGAAGTATGGCGTCGATATGGGTTCCATCTATTATACCAATGTAAACCTCTATCTTGTATTAAACAATTATTATTTAATAGAAGAATTAGGTTTTGTATTATAAGTAGTTATAATCCATAGTTATTACCTTAAAATAAGGATAGTACAACAGGTTATTGGCAATCTTTGGCGACACGTCATTTGGATCTTGCTTCAAGTACCTCCCCCTTAAACGACCAGCGACTTCTTAGCATTTGTTAAAGTATCTTGAAATTGTTTCCTCCGATCTTATGAAATGTGACCTAACAATTCTATTTTTAGTTTTATGGCCTGATATGTTAAGAAACATGATCAATGGCTCTTCTACTTTAACATCCCGTTAAGCTTTTAATAGGTCAGTATATCTCATTATTCTAATAAGATTTTCAAATGCATGCAGCCACATTCTAACATAATCCCTACAACTCTCACTATAACACAGTTTATGTGCCTATCTCTAGAATTTATCTTTTGTTTTTCTCCACCTTAGGGTGATAAGGGATTGATTTACGTCTACAATATATTCTCATTAAACAAGCAAATACATTAACGACTGTAGAGATAGTAGCATTAGAAGACATCATTATTAACATTTCTTCATCAATATCGTCCATCTACATTTATTTAAAAAAATATTCCCAAGAAAATACTAAGCATCAATCTTAAACATACAAACATAGTAAACAATAATTAACAACATTAGCACCAATTATCATGATATTAACATCAAGATAGACAGTGGACAAAAGATAATCCACTCCGTATACACGTTACCCAATTGAGGGAGGATTCAATCAAAACTATTAAAACAGACATGGAAGTTCAATATACATGTTCAACATGATTTTCACCTAAATCAAAACTATTAAAAAGGAGCTATGTCTGTTTCTTTAACTATGATGCAGCAGAGGGATGATAACATGATTTAGCATTCAACAGGAAAATTCTTTTTTTTTAATTGTTGTGATGTTCCATTTTGAGCTGATTTTCCACAAACCTAATCTGATTTTTTGTTGCATTCAATTTATTGACCTAAATTTCTTTCAATTCTCAATTTTAACAACTCAAATGAGAGCCAGAACATGGTCTACATTTGTCAATTACAGTATACAAAAGTAAACCTCCCTAGTTATTAGTCTGTTTGGATGAGTCTTCTCCATGATGTTTCCAGGCTCCTCTCTTATATAACATGAAAAATTTAGGAATAAAATTTAATTTATCTTGTATAATAGGGTAATGCGAAAGTTGATGCCTAAATCTATAAGCCTAACGTGACATGTAACCAACTCAAATCTCTATTGACTCTAGTGAAGAAAAACTATAGTGTCCCTTTCATGGCTCTTACCCCCAACCTACATTCTAAGAATTTGCTTTCAAACTTAAGGTTTCACATAATATATCCCTCTTTTCGTTTCCTTTCTTTAAATGGAATATAATTAAAAAAAAAAGCAAGAAAAATAACATCCCTTTTTCACATATAATAATTATGCATAAATGCAATCATGATGGGAAAAAGATTAAAAAATTTGACACATAAAATTAATTCTTCATCACTCATGCTTATATAGTTCTTCATCAACTTAGTTTCGTGAAATCTTATGTAATAAATCATTGTTGAAAACTAAAAACCATATGCAGATACTTGAGCTAAAAATATGAATAGTTTTCGGTCTTTCTTTTATCATGATGATGTTGGATAAGACAATAACAACAAACTTGAATTTTCACCTAAATTAAATCTCAAACAAAAGAAAAGAATTTTCACCCTAATCAATTTCAACAAAAAAAGGATTTTCCTTTTCAAATATCACCCTAATTAATTTGGAAACCCTAATCAATTTCCCCCAAATCAAAGCCGTTCAAAACCCTAATTAGGAAGAAAGGGAACGAGATTTAGTTGCGGGTTCGGAGAGAATCGGATGGAACCGTAGCATAGCAAGATCACCGAAACAATAGAAACCCCAAATCAATTTCACCTAAATCAAATATTTCACCTTCAACTCTTCTTACAAGCTAAAGTTACAACAGGGACCCTAGCCATTCTCCATCTTGTGGATGAGATTTGACCGAAAATTCGTCAATTTGGGGAGGAGAGCTAGGCTTTTGGAGCGGGAAATAGAGGAGGCGGGTAAAAGAGGAGGGAGAGAAAAATGGGAAGTGGTGCAAATAGGGGTGCGTTGTTGGTTTTGAGAGGGTCAGGAGGGACATAATCAGGAGAGTTTTTGCTAAGGTGGAGGAGTGCTCAGAGATCCACACCATATCCTCTCCCATTGTTAGGATTTTGCAAATTCTAAAACTTAGAGTGTTTTTTAACAATTTAGGGATTTAAGATTCTAAAATTTTTATTAAAACAAACACAACCTATGGATTCCAAAAACCCAAAAAAAAAAACAAGGATGTAAAAAAAACAATGACTATCAATTTTTAATCCCAGGACTTGAAATCCACCTCATATTTTAAAATTTTGCTTAAACCAAACACCCTCTAAGAGTCTTGGGTTCAATTCCAGATTGAGTTATTTTTTTTTAAAAACAAGGATGTAAAGAATCCTTAGCTTTACGAATGAGCCCTTTCATCATTTGTGGGAATTTGTTCTGTTTCAGTTTACAACTATAGTTACATGCAACTATAAATGCTTGTAACTAGTCTATTGTAGCTCCTGTCACATGCAATTACATTTTAGTTTCAGAAATTTTACAATTTGCAACTGTAGCTGTAGTACCAGGCGATAGCTTTAGGCAATCAAGATTATTTTGGACTCAGCTTGATTGCAATTGTAATTGCAACTAAATACCCCTTTTGTTGCTCAAAAAATTATAACCGTGACTTACACGCATATCTACCTAATAAGCGATAAGCTAGACCTGGATATTGTTTTACAACTACAATTGCACGTGCATTTATTAGTCACCATAAAACAAACAGCTATAGTAGACACCCAAAAAGACTGCAGTTGTAGCGAATCAAAACAACTCTAAAAGAGAGAAGGGTTATTCAGAAATCTTAAATATTTGTATAAAACTGAAAAGACATGCCATGAGTCAACAGAAACTCCTTGTAAAATATACAGCTGAACAATTGATAGTCATTGCAAAGGAGTAAAAGAAAAACAAAACATCAAGTGATACTTGATCTCACCCAGTCATCAATTTATTAATATGGGAAAAATAATTATCAGTCAAAAATGTTGTAGAAAACACCCTGCTTATCCCTACACCCAAGACAAAAATGTAACTTTAGTAAAATTTTTAACATATTAGCTCAATCCAATTTACATTATATAGCTCACGACGACTTTCCACTTCACAAATTTCGAATGTGTCTTATTTGGTATACTAACTTACTAGGTATAACAAACAAGTATAACCCAAATAGCACAATGAATTCTGTGTATTTATTCGTTTCCTCTTTTCAGACCCTTGGGTATCTTCTCCTTTGTTGTTTTTCCTCGATTTTATTCATCCAGTCAGATAGCAAGAAAATACCTTTGTAGCCATAATAAGCAATTGCAGATATTACTAAACAAATTAGCAGCAGCAGAAAATATCTCCACACTGTTTGCTTTATTGCCTGGCAAATAAAAGCGTGTATTCATATTAAAAATTCTGAAAAAACAAAAAAGACGACAACAATAAAAGAGTTTACAAACCTGGAATTTTGATGCATTTCTGATATCCCGCACCTTTTCACGTCTTTTTCTTCTTTTTGGTACCTTTTCAGCATCTACAACTACGCTCTGAGGAACGAGAGAGTGTTAACTATCATGATCATATGGAAAGCTCCAACAATATGTGATGTGATGAATGATTACATGCATAGAGAGAGCTACCATAGGGAAGAAAACCACAGATCTATCTCCAACGTCATAAATAATAAAAAAAATGGAGGGCAAAGTCAAGTTCCAGTTGAAGCTACTGGTCCTTATATCAAGATTTCTGTATTTTAACGCTTGGACAAATCATAGAGTAGCAACACATTTAACCCTTATAAAAGATCGACATAAACCTATTAATCTACAAACCACACTATCGATCATGAATATCACTTCCTATATTTATTCATACGTCCGGCCACTTTGCTATCGATTAGTTTTCTTGAATATATAGAGGCATCTAATTGTTATAATATTTATCCTGCTATTTATTGAAAGTTTGTCCACTTGTTTTCTCATCATGCATTGCAGGCGTCAGGTATACTAGTAGTTACAAAATTATGCATCTTGCACTGCAGAAGAGTAGTATTGAAGCCATCTGAAAACATAAGCAATAAATGGTTATAATATTTAATAACAAATGGAGAAATTTCTGTTTCTCATAAACCTACTACCATCCACTAACCACCTTTCAATCATAAATTGAACTTCCCATTGAATAACCTATGTCTACTCATACGTCTATCAAGTTGCTATGATGCGAAACGGGATAGGAGGTCTATCAGAATCAGCGATCTAAATCAAATAATACACCGTTTCACCAAAATTCATGATCTTTGGCAGGAAATCAAATTTAAAACAACCAATGTGACCAATGGATTTTAACGAGATTTGCATCGACAATTATGAATAATTCCAATCTCGAACAATTTAATCGCAATATTTATTATCATTGCACAAGTTCCACAATCAATATCAAAATTTTGACAGTCACATGCTCAGTTACTCTCAACTCACAAATTTAATCAAGCAGTGAATATATGATAAGAGTTTAGAGATGAATACTCGTGCAATTAACTAATAAAATGAGATTAGCAGAAAAATAGAGAGAAAACGAAACATTCGTCGGTTTGAACAAGCTCGACGTGAGGGACCTCTAGAGGTGGTACGACGACGAGACGGAGATCTGACAACGACGAGACGGTCGGGTGAAGGCGAGGCGGGCGATAGCGAACTGACGACGACATGAGCAGTGGCGTCGAACTGGGCAGCGTCGCGAGCGACAATGTCGAGCTGGAGGATGACGAGGGGGACGCGGGCGGCCGTCAAGCGGCAGGCAGGTGAGCGGACTTCGGTCGAGGCAGACGCGATGGCCGTCGGGTTGAGGTAAGGCGGATGGACAGGGGAGGGCCGTCAATGATGGCCGCTCGAGTTGGAGGAGAGCGGGGGAGAGATCAGTGTGTGCTGTTCGGCGTTGAAGAAGAGTAGGGGAAAGAGCGTGGGGCTGTAGACGCGAGGAGAAGAGGATTCGGCGGGCGAGCGACTTATGTGTGAAAGAAAGGGAGCAGGGGTACGAATGCGGCTTCTCTGAGGTTGCAGGGGGGTTTTCGGCGGGATTGTTTGGAAGTGGAGGAAGGAATCAGCGACTGTTTTCGAACGAGGCGTAGGAAACAGGTGGAGGGGCGGCTGGAGTTCTGCGGATTGGAGAAGGAGGATAGGGGGAGCGGCCTGGCGTCGGCGTGTTGAGTTGGAAGGGAGCGAGGGAAACGAGGCGGTTTTGTTGGGGCCGGGCTCGCATGTTGACGGATGCAAGGAGTGCGGTCGTGGATGTGGCGAAGAACGAGTGAGGTGGGTTTTGGCGCGACTGAGGCAGAAAGCAGAAAGGAGGAGGTGGTGAAGAGGAGAGAGAGATGGAGTCGGCGTTGGGGCAGAGAGAAGAGAAGAAGAGGAGATGGGATTTGGTTGCGGTTGCTAGAGGAAGAGGAAAAAAGATGGGTTGGCGGCTGAGTTTTACGTAGAGGAGAAAAGAACGTAGAAAAGAAATTAGCCTAGGGTTTCACACCCGAGGCCTAGGGTTTCACACCCGAGGCTTCACACCAAAATTCAAACAATTTTCATTCCATTCTTCATTCAATAATTCATTGATTTTCAATAGTCTCATACAACCTTATTTATATAGAAAAACTACATGCATACAACGTGCAATAAAAATAGAAACAAAACAACAATCCCTCAAATCACTCAACTACTAAAATTAAACTACAATTCAAATTTCAAATTTCAAAAATTAAAATAAAAGAAAGTCAACTAATCAAATATAGAAATTGTCATTTCTTGTCCTCATCATGCTATCAATTATTTTCCTTAAATATTTAGAAAACTATCTAATGGTTATAATATTCATCCTCCTAATTGCTAAAAGTTTGTCCATTGGTTTTTATCATGCAGTTCAGGCCAGGTTATACAAGTAGTACAAATTGCTTTTATTACATGTATGTTGCAGATGAATAGTACCAAAGCCGATCCAAGACATATGCAGGGATATTTATGAGATTAATAAGCAATTGCCAAGTTCAAGTAAAAAAGTTTTAAAGAAAGAATATTTTGGCTGACAATAGACTACCTGTGTCACCTTAGCTTTGCGGAGCTGTGGCTCTGAATCAACGACCTTGATCTTACTTCTGCAATCTTCATTGCATGCAAGTAAACCAACACCAAATTGAGTTTTTGTTATATCTTTCGGATCACGGCCAGCCTTCTTGTATGCATTTATGGCATCTTGGCATATCCAGTCTTTCTTCAGGTTGTTACATCCACATCGTACAGTAACCTGTCAATATAAAGTTCATAAGTAAAAATACTTTTGACGAAATTCTAGAAAATTGTAATATGAGAAACTGCTCCAATAAAACTTATGATCAATAAAACATCTCCGTGTCCTATATGCTGGACCTCCAAAGATAGCTTGGCATCAGAATAATGCAAAGAAATTCCCAACAGATAACTCAGTACTTAATTGAGAATACACATTACAGGAGAATAAATCGAGAACTCTATGGTATGAAATCAGTGGCTTCTCGCAATGGACAAAACTTAAGCGACAAGTTCAACCTTCAACTTGCAAAGATTACACAAAGAAAGGAAAAAAAATAAAAAAAGATAAAGATATATGTTTCCAACGCTAGCATGCTAATTTCAACAACCTATGAAAATGAACCAGTCAAAAATATCAAAGAAGTTTTATTTATTTTTTTCATTTATTTTTGTGGAGGGGAATTGTGAGTTCTAATAAAAAGAAATGCTTATCTGAAGCCAACAAGAAATATTTACATCAACAAGTAGTAGAGTCAATGGGCTTAATCTGAACAAGTTGGTCTTGAAAACCCATCCATCGAATTGGCCTTGATAGGGCAAAAATAACAGGACCTAGCAAAACGGAACTTACGCTGGCATCTAACATACATCCATTTACCAATCTATACTACTTATAAAAGAGAACTGCAATGTCAAAACTTTTAATTGCCTTTTTTGCTCTCTCAATCAAAAGTTTTGACATGACAATCCCTCTTTTTATGTGTAGTTATAATAATAATAACAATAACAAGTAATAATAAGTAATAAAATACAAGTAATAGAGTATAGATATAAATGAAATGCAAAACCCACTGACTCATTCAAATTCATGACATAACTCTCATATTAATTATCCATTAATATTAAAATATATTTTTTGAAAAATAAAAAAGAGATTTACAACGTTTACTTGAAAAAGTTATCTTATCTCAGCAAATATCTAATCTAATCTAATCTACCTAATCTAATATTTAACATCTAATATCACCTAATCTTATATCTTATACTATTATAAAGTGTGTTCTATCTTAAAATATTTTTTTCCAAAAATACCCTCCACTGTGTATGTAAGATTTTTAAAGTGTCTTTATATTGTTAAGGACCTATGGCAACCATGTACTTTTGTGTCTCATCATGATAAACCACAAACATGTATGAACACACATAGATACTCAATATCATAGATAATAATATAAGATATAAGAAATGCAATATATACATCATTAAAGAGACCATGCATATCTCAAAACTAATGCCAGTACATGTTTCATTTTGGAAACAATATGTCAACTTAAAATGTTGTAGTGCATGCATTGATGCATATTGAAACATGAGTGCATTTTAAGTAGTGGTTTTTATTGGAGTATTTTAAGTAGTGGTCTTTATTTGAGTGGCAATTACAACAATTATCAGTTACGGAAACCAAAGAGCCTATCTTTTATCATAATTCTTTAGATCATAGTTAGGCATGCTAACAGCCCTTACAACCCATATAAAAATGGAATCTACTGCTTCCAACCATAACCACGTCAGCTTCAGTTACCCTAATGGAGGAACGCCAAGCTTTACTACGATAACCTCGCCAAGTTGCTGGTGACATCCTTTACTTATCTCTCTAGGAGACGATTGAGGATATGTTGAGGATTCAACTGTTTTTGCTGTTGTGATTACTGGATCGTAAAATTTGACGATGTATGTGACACTTATGATGGGGTTAAGGTTGATATAAGGAATTAGAATGTGGAGAATTTGGATCGCAAATGTAAGACTAAATTTTTGAGGTTTAATTTGGTTTAATGTGGAGATTTGGTGTCGGGACGGGGGGGCCAAATTTGGGGGGGGGGGGGGGGGGGTCTGTGTTTTTTTTTTTTTTTTTTTTTTTTTTTTGAGGAGGGTTGGGGTGTGTTAAGGATTTTTTTTTAAGCCATAGGATATGTAGATAGAACTGATACTGCTTTATTATGATTTGAGAGAGATAAGTTTATTATCCACGAATTTTGTATATTTTATGTTGAAATAGTTATTGTTTAAACAGTATAATAAGGACAATTAATGTGAATTTTGTTCTTTGATCTGACTCTATTTTATTCCCTATTACTTATTATGTGTCCATGACTCCATAATGCTCTTGTCAGCTTCTTTTTTTTCTCTCTCCTCATATTTCTCCCATAAACACTATTTTTTTCAACTGGAATTATGATCTATGTTTATTGAGAATAGGGACTTTTTTTTTGTTAGGTTTTATGTTTAAGTGGTAATGCGATTCTTTCTAATCATTAAAGTATACTTTCTATAATTATACATGTCTTGAAGTTCATATCCATTATTTTTTTCCTACTGTTTAATTATTTCAGCCATCAACTGTAGCAATTTAACATTTATAATATCATTCGTATCAATTTATCGCAAATGTAAGAAATTGCAAACATATGCACGGTTTTGTCGCAGGCCGAAAAGTTAGGGATCAAATGACAATTTAAAGTTCTTGAAGGTTATATTAAAACAGGCCAAAAGACACTATGTTTGTTGGATGTTTATGTTGCACAAGTAATTCCTTTTTGAAATAATCCTCATGAGCTTTAAAAATATGTTGTTTCATTTTATGCTAGTCACCTTACAAATTTTTGAAGCATGTAGCTTGGACAAGACTACTGTTGCGGATATTGGATTCTTCTAACTCCTTGACTTAAATCTTCAGATGTTTGAGATAAGATGATCCAAACTGTTTTGCTAAAATACAGTCTTTATCTTGAGAGCATACTATGGTATAAAATAATTGTCAGTTTCTTTAATAACTTTCTGACATTAGATTGTAGTCATTTTCGAAATTTTAGACAAATCAATAACTATAGTTGGGAAGATGTGGAAGCCTATAAAATATCAGACTTGGAATCAGTCACACAATCTGGGGTTTCTAGCCTAAATTTGCACACCCTGACTTAGAAAATTCTAGAAACAAGCTTTTCAATTACTACAATACATCTTGGCTTTAGTAGGTTTCCAAATTCCAACACCAAACTTTTCCCACAAGAAGTAATCCAGGTAATATACCTAAATAAAATACTATAGGAATAGATAAATTTTATCATTTTTCTTCAAGACACTTCATCATTTTCATGTTTATGAAAAAATTTAATAACATAAAACAAATAAACCACTTGCAACGCACGTGCACTATACTAGTATTGTTAAATTTGTTTCAACTCCTATCATGACATGTTATGGAACAAGAAGTACTGCTATCAGCCGACAGTGAAATACTTAAATGGGCTATTATCTCCAGATTATTACATATCGAGAGACTTTGATCATGTTTAATTGAAGGCATAACAAAACTGAGGATGGACATTATGATGATTAAACATACACTATAGATTTTATATATTCATTTGTGAAGGCTCATTGTCAAGTCGTGAGATTCTTCAAAATTAAAAGGCTCATAAAACCCTTTCCACATATTAACCAAGTAATTTTAATACGTGAAGCAAATCAAGTCAAGTATGTGTAGCGTGTTGAAGCAAATAACTTAAATTAAAATATTACTCCCTTCAACTCCAATTGGATAAGACGACCCTAAAATCACTCATTCCCACTTGCACTTTTTCTAACTGAAGAGTAGAGTCAATATCTATGTCATGAAACCTGACGAGAGTACTAAGACTACCATGCAAGTGTAGTGATTGGCTTAGGACCTGAGACTTGAAAGGAAAGTTCAAATTTTGTCAAAAAAAACTTGTTGTGACAATTATAAACTTGTGACTAGGGAGTATTTTAAAGTCAAATAGTAGAGATAAGTACAAATTTTGGAGTTATTACCATTTCGAGTATCTTTCTAGATTTTGGCTAAAAGGATTTCCATGAAGCAACTACTTGTGGACATTCTCCCTTAAGCTATAGGAAGCATTTCGTTGACTCACCACCATTGACCTGTCAGACAATAGGAGAACTAACTCCACAGTAGGAGGCCCATCGATAAAAGCAGGCTATTGCATCTGTTTATGCAGTACAATTTTACCAGTTCACTGGAAAATTAAGTAAGTTTACTTGTAATATTCCTATTTTTGAATCTGACTGCAGAGTTGCAAAAGATTAAGAAACATAGTAAAGAATTTTTGAATCTGGTACCCAGTATTTCGACTTAATTTCCTGATGGCCATAGTAGTTAATTAGTTGGTAGGTGCTTCAGTCCATTCTTGCAAGAATACATGAAATCTGAAATTGATTACTAAACAACTAATAAGGAGGTCAACTTTCAGATTGTTTTGTGTGCTTCCTGTGATATTTTGTACGATAGGTGGCCCAACAAAAATACTGCTTATATGCATACATAATTGAATACTGAACAGTGAACCCGTTAAGAAAACCCAAACGAAGCATCACCTTGAGAAAGGATTGATAGTTTGATACATCAAAATCATAGAGCAATATGTTAGAAATTTTACCTTCTTGGTACACTGATTACTCGAAGGGCATTCTCCAGGATGGCATGTTTCAGAGCATAGGTGTGGGCACTTTGGTAATTTTCTGCAAATTGTGAAAATAAAAGCCAGTCTTCAATAGTTCTATTGAACAAATTAGATCACAAAAAAGAAGTTCTATTCACAGCCCATGTTTTAATGTGGTGTAGGATAGTCAGCTGCCTAGTCCAGCAGCATTAGGAGCAGATATAGGCACTTAAGCTGTTATACTGCAGACGAAGGCAGGAGCCCTCTAGCGAGCCCAACGCGTCTTTTTCTCTTTTTTCCTCTTTTTTTTAAAGAAAAGGTAAGCCAACACATTGTACTTTAGATCTTCTCAGTAATAATGACTGTAAACTCCTAAGGAAATTAAAACTTAAAACATTCAAAAGTTTAAAATAATAATAAATAACAATGCATAATCTGTCAAAATAACAGCAAATTTGATCAAAATAGCAATACAACATCAGAGTGAAACTTTCTCATTAGGTGGTAGGGATTTAGAGCTGACCAAAGAAAAAGAAAATACAGAACAGGAAAAGCACAGAGCTGATTCGGTATTATAGTAATAATAGGGCCAAGTATTGAAATCTTCATATAGGTGAGAGTTTCCTGACTCTGTACTACCGGTGTTGGAGTTTCTTTTTTTTCAGTTTTTTGGTGTTGCATAGCCAGTATCTAAAATTTAAAAAATTGAAACTATTAAAGGTACTTGATGAATTAGATTCGGTTTAAACGAATGATTGCTTAATCGAATAGTTAACTTATAGTAATTCACAAATATATATGGTATTTGAACTAATAGTCTCACTTGCATAGGCATTAAAAAATAGCTGGGCTTACTGTACAACAGGTCAACATCAATTGTGTTATTAAGTAGTTTAAGTGCATATGTTTGCCTACATGTAAATGAATGGAGATTCGTCATTTGATTAGTATTAAAGCCATTCAATTCCATTTTTCAAGGATCAATCTAGAGAATGAAACATACTCTGGTAGCTAACTAGAATTTTTCATCCCAACTTTGATAGGAAGAATTAGCATATGGGCACAAAGATATATAACAGATTTCATAAATATGAACATAAATCCTTTTCCCAACAATTTGCCTAGTGCTCTGCCAACCGATGTTCATATTGGTTGTTATGAAGAATCAAATGCCTTCAATTGGAATCAGAAATTGAATAAGCGAAAAAACAGTTGGACAGCATAAATTACAATCACTATCATGAAAAATTAAACAGGTAGTAAAACCAGGGTATAACACGGCCATAGTTAACGAAGATGGTTTATTACACACTACGAAAGGCCTTCAGAGCCTATATGAGGAGTAAACAATGGATGGAAGCCGAACTACATGGACAAAGGCGAGTAAGTGATGCAGGACACAATCACTATTCAGATTTCATCTGGATTGGATTGAAGATAGATTTGTTATGATTTTATATTTGGTTTTGGTTTTAGATAGGTGATAATTAGTTATTTTGGTTAGTTGTTTTCATTTGAATTGTGCTAGGATAGAGTATGTTGGATTATTTTCTAGTTAAGATTGAATTGGTTTTTAGAGATAGGATAAGTTTTTGAATTTGTTTTAGATAAGAATTCCAAACTCTATAAAAGAGGGAGGAGATTTTTGTAATGTAGTAGAGAGCTTATGAAGAATTTATGAAAGTTGAGTAGAAGAAAATATTGTGTGATTTTTCTAAGGAGGAAGCCATTGTTTCTCGGTGTGAAGCCGAAAGGGTTAAGTATTAGCGTGTGAATCCGACTTAGCTAATGGTTAGATGTCTGTAAGTGAATCTGATCTAACCTCATTTTATCTTACTTTGTTTGTCTTTTATTTTATAAAAAAATAAAAAAGAAAAGAAAAGATAGTGTTCACGGATACTGTTCATCTGAGAGTTCTGGGTTCTGGCACTTCTCCGTCCCTCACCATTTAGTATCAGAGCAAGTTCATGTGATCCATAGTTATTATGGGTAAATATCCGCTTTCTCCTTCACAACAATATGATTTCAATCCAATAAAGTTTGATATTTTATCTTATTTTTGTGGTTTTGATGGATATGAGGAGTCATATGATTTTGAAGTCTGGATTCAAGATATGGAGGATATATTTCTCATTTATGAAATGTCTAAAATACAAAAGTATTTATATGCAAAGTATAGGCTCAAGAAAGAAGCTCATGAATGGTGGTCTAGAAATTATTCAGGCTATCGTTCAGCTATCTATTCATGGGAGCCTATGAAATTTTTTCTGAAAAGGAGATATTCTTCTCAATTAACTAGAAGATACTTTTGTTTCTCTATAAATCATGAAGAAAAGTCAACATGAGTGCCTCTACCCCAATTAGATTTGGCCCTACCGTCGAAGTATGAGTTCGCTACAAAGTTAGAAACAAAAATAGATGCAAAGTTGGAGATGGAGCCAGAATCAAAGTCTGAATCTGAATCTGAACATGAGCCAGAAAAATATGCATATCAAAAGATCAATCCATAATCTAAGCCTAAATTTGAACAAGAAAAGGAAAATTCGATGATAGATTTAGAGCCTGAAGTTGAGCCTTCAATAATGGACTTTGTTATATCAGATACTCCACCAACCCGTTATCGAGTTCTACAAATATTACTGAAGACTTTGGAGACTATTGAATTAGAATACATAAAAGTTGTAGAGTTTATCACATTATCTTTATTTAAAACTAAAGGTCGAGTTTTCTCCAACAAGGGGAGAACTGATGTAGGACACAATCACTATTAAGATTTGATCCGGATCGAAGTTAGATTTGTTATGATTTTAGATTTACCTTTGGTTTTAGATAGGTGAGAATTAGTTATTTTGTTTAGTTATTTTGATTTGAATTGTGTTAGGATTGAGTTCGTTTGATTATTTTCTAGTTAAGATTGAACTGGTTTTAGAGATGGATAAATTTTTGAATTTGTTTTAAATAAGAATTTCAAACTCTATAAAAGAGGGACGAGATTTTTGTAATATAGTAGAGAGCTTATGAAGAATTTATAAAAGTTGAGTTGAAGAAAATCTTGTGTGATTTTTCTAAGGCAGAATCCGTTGTTTCTTGGTGTGAAGCCGAAAGGGTTAAGTGTCAGCGTGTGAATCCAACTTAACTAACGGTTAGATGCCTATGAGTGAATCCAATCTAACCTCATTTTATCTTAATTTCTTTGTCTTTTATTTTATAAAAAAAATTAAAAAGAAAAGAAAAGATATTGTTCACGGTACTGTTCACCCGAGGGTTCCGGCGCTTCTCCGTCATGCATCAGTGAGCTTGTCACCGGGGCAGATGACAACTTTGTAAATACATTGTGTAGTAAAATAGAAACAAATGGCACCAAGCTAATTGTGCGAGCTTCCTATCATGCCTTTCATAGACTGCGACTGTACAATAAACAATGTAAAACTAAACTACATCCAATGACCCTACTACTAAGCAGTTAATTTCTTATATGGTAAGCAAAAAAGGCTAGTTTTTATAAAAGAAAGTTAATGAGGTAAGTGGCAATCACCGAGGAAAGAACCTAATGCAATAAAAAAAGGAAGAATAATTGTGCAGTACTTACCTATGGCATGTACCAACACAACAACGAACCCGTTGTTGCTCCTTGTCGCTCAAGCTGTTATAATAAATGCACTCAAAAACATGCACCATTGAACCACAATGGCATGTCCTTTTGATCAGGGTCTTGCAAGGAGGACAATCGTTGGAGTGACACGGTAAAGGGCAAGGATGCGGACATGGTGGCTCCCTAACCTGAAATCAGCGCACCTGAAGTTAGGATTGGGTGACGTCATTGAGGTAATTTTTTCAACTGAAAAACTAGAAAAGCGAATTTTTTTCTTTTGCTACAAGAGTTGACATGAACACAAATAGAGGAATTGTGCATAAACAAATATCTCTCTCATAGCCCCATGACCATAAAAGCTCCAATGAAGTTACAAAATCAACCTTCTGGCAAGGAAGAAAACAATCTTCACAGCGCTCTTCCTGTCCTTCATGCTCCGTAAGTTCCAGAAAATGACAAGCTTTGGTGCAGTAATGGTTGCCACAAAGGAGAAGATACCCACACAAGTTCTGACACGAGAATTGCACTGTTCTAGAGCAAATCATCTAAAAGGCAGAATATGTGATAAGAATGCGTATATACTTGGCAATGAGATATCATGGAAAGAAGATGACAAACTAACCGGACGTTCTTCACCAATATGTTGACCACGACACGGTATCAAGATAACTTCTTGACAAGGAGGACATGGTGATCCAGGTGTACTTTCGATGTGCCTATCCCTTTGCTTCTTCTTTGGTCTCAAAGTAAATTCAGGGTTGGGAGGAGGTATGGGACCATGACATCTAAAAGTGAGGTGAATTAGTCTCATCATAAAGAATGAAGATGATGATAATGATGATGATTTCAATACATAACAGACAATTAAGTAATTCCATACCTCTGTTTACATGTATGGCCACAGGGAAGTCCCTCCCCACAAATCAATTTACAAGGTGGGCAAGCTCCATAATGGCATTTATGGGGCTGGCAAGAAAAAAGGGTCAAACACACATCTAGAAGTTAACAAGCCAGTTAAAAAGATATGAGACATTATATTTCCCAAAAAAAAGCATGAACTACACACACTGAAAGAATATCAATTCAGATTAAAAGCACACCAAACGATTAACTCACGTTAAGAGTATAAAGTTATACTCCTCAAACTTCACCTCAACATCTAAATGTTGATGTAGTGTTAGGAGACAAGATATTAAAGCAAGCTAGGTTTCAGGTCTTGCTGGCCACGAATTTAAAGTAGATTTAATAAAAAAAAGATACCACTCCACGAGTCCAAGTTTCAAAGGATGCTCAACTTGTAGGGATACATTAAGAGTATAAAACCATAACCTTCAACCTTCAGCTCAACTTCGGAGTTTTGGCATAGCAACAAGGTCCTCTGACAAATTACAGCCTAAAAAGTAGGCTATTAATGTGAAGTTAGAAAAGCATGAGTTGACTTCAAATTTTAAACAGGCTAAAATTGGGCTATAAATGTAAAGTGAGAAAAGCATCATGAAGGGCTATTAATGATTCACTATGGGAATATGATCATCTGTAGGTTTTCTACCCTTTTATAGCATTCACAGATTAACATAAACACCTTAAATCATATTATTTTTACAGGGATAATAGGCTGGCAATGTTCCCACCATCATATTTCAATGTAACCAGTGTAAAATCAGAGTTCCATATACATGAATAAATCTAGAAAGTCTTTTAGAAGATGCAACCATAACTTTTGATTTAAATTTTTTTACTTACTTCGACTGCTTGAGGTCAGCCAATTACAACAACAACAAAGTCTTTATCTCAAAAATTTTGGGGTGACATCAGTCAATTGTCACCAATATTTCGTTGATAAATATTCAAGCAAAAAAAAATTTGTAAGTACCCGGCATTCAGATTTGTGTCTACACAGCCGAGATATATGACATTGTTTGGGACATCTAGGTGGCTTTTGACTCCTTTCCACCCCACATGGAACCTGAACGCCAAAAATGAAAAAGATGTTGCCAATCAGATAAATCCTATTGAGGACAAACTATAAATTCCAAATGAGCAAAAAAAGAATTTGAATTAGTATCACCAGAATCTAGGTTCTGGGAGTTAAAAGTAATTTATATTTATCATATATGTGTATAACAAAAGATTTGCTGGAAACATAACATACAATGGAAACATCCAATCCAGAAATAATATTCAAATCTATATTAGAGTATTCCCATCGTTGTTCTGACACGTGTGGAGCTTTTTGAAACCTTTCATGCAATAAACCCATAAAACATACACTTACTGGGATGTCCTTCCTCCACTTGGTATCCAGTCTGCTAGAGAAAAATGATCTACGACATTGTTTGTTGAAATTATGTACATCCAAATACTAGAGTAAGTGGCTCAATTAAGAAAAAAGAGTACTCTCTATCATGCAACTCCTCTGAAAGACTACAGTACATCCATGCACAAGCTCATGTGGCAAGCACACAAACATATAAATACATAACAACAGGCAAGTGCAAAAGTATAGAATTAAGTGTTAGCTCTTTAAGTGCCTTGCGATGTATAGCATCAAATTTGAAACTCTAAGCATTAAATGAAGATGCTGAAAAGTTAAAAGAGCATTTGTGTTGCTCAATACGCAACAAAATCGACGCAAAATAACTGCCTACTGCTTTATGTCCAGAAACTAAACCAAACAACCGCGACGCAAATGATGTTCCTACTCTTTTTCTTGGAAAGACATCAAAAGATGAAGATTGTTAGATGTTGTTGCTAATGCTCCATACACATCGAATGAATCCAATGGAAAGGACTGGAAACTACAGATACTAGTATGTTACTATGTAGGTAAAAGAAACATGAAGCTTTATCTTAAATTAAACATAAATCTTGTTGTGTTTATACTATTAAACATTTGATATAAATCGCACATTTTTTGACTTTCCTAGCCTTCTTTTTAACGAATTTCTGAATTAAATCAGGATAGTTTAGAATAAGAAATATGTAATAACAATAAGAAGAAAGCCTTTATCCAAAAAATTTGGGGCTGACTTCATTAATCCTACTCTTCAATTGCTTTCTATTATGGGTGATCTCCTACATTAAATCATTGCACTGCAGCACCAACGCAATGCGTCAGTAGGGATACCCCCCAAGGAATATTCTGTAGGATTCATTTCACTAGATCCAACTATGGTTTATGATGGCAATTGGCTACCTAAACTCAACCTTCTTCCTTTATCATAGCTTGGGAGAGACAATAAAAAGCTAAAACATTAAAGCACAAAGACTTGAAGAGTTAAAAAACAATACGCAGTGAAAGCTGAATTTACACTCAATATCTGATTCATTTTTGGAGAATCAACTGGAAGATTGAAGACTATTTGAGTGTTTCCAATTATGAAACTAATAGATGAATTTCTATCAGACTAACTTGCAGCAAAAAAGAATCGTCAACAAGTGTCAAGATATTGAGTGGTAAGACCAACCTCAAAGTGTGTTTCTCCACATGAGCATGAAATGGACACCATCAAAGGACAAGGAGCACAATCACCTCTATCAAGAATGTAACAATGTTTAGGAATACAGTTCAAGCAATAATAAGAAAATTAGAAAGAAAAATGGACAGAACGTTGTTGATGCAGGAATTACTACATTGAATCACACAAAAGAAGAGAAAGAGCATGGTGAAATAAAAAAGTAGATTAACTTCAAGCATCAGGAAAGAAAACATCTATACATAGGTTGCCGATAAAAACATCACTGACCAGTGAGTCTATCCGAATAGTGGCTACCGCCTACCAAGACATACGAGCAAGAAAGAGATATCCTACCAAAGTTTGTAATCTAATCTTGAAAGGAGCAAGAGAAAGAAAATTGCTTAAAATTTCATAGATATGTACAATGTGAACATGTGACGAACTTATTTACAAGTGCAATTAGTTACATCAAATCATCAACCAAGCCAATTTTCTTCCGACAAGGCTTCAACTAATATTGCTGCTGATAAAACTGATAAGGGCAAGGAATGAGATAATTACTTGGTGATAACTTGGTAATGAAATAGTATAGAATTGGAATTATGCTAACTTAATGTTTCAAGATACTGGAAAGAAAATCTGTGAAGTGGTTCATGACACTTATTCTATGAAGCAACACCTATATTGGATCTTCTATGTTTATAAAGATAGTGTTAGTTTCAGATAAGGAGAGAAGCCGCTTCAAAGATATGAGGATAGTGTTAGTTTCAGATAAAGAGAGAAGATCTGAAGGAGTACTATAGCCACTTAAAAGATGGATTGATGAACATAATCAATATCATCCAGTCCACTTACAAAGGATATTAAACCTCTTAATAGCACCGAGAACATTTGTACATTTGCGAATTCCTCTTCAGTCTGAGCTCTTTCTTCAAGCTGCTGTGATCTAAACATCTTGCTGCTGAAGGCGGTCTTTCCACTCTTCACGGTATGTTCTCCAGATTATCATAGACCACAGATCCTTTGTCCACTTCTGATGGTTCTACTCATGCGAGGTTCGCATCGCTTATCTCTATCAGACTTGATATGTCTACTAGAAATCATGGTGACTTTACTCTGTGTGGCCTATGTTGTTGTGTTGGCCTTACAGGTTGTAGTTTTGGATGTGGTCAAGAGGAATCTTGTAATTGTACTTACAAATTGGTTGGACCAATAATACAGTAGATTGTGTTGGGAACTTTGTGATAAACCAGCACATTCACCAAATCATCTTCATCCTAGTCAGTGTACATGCTTGATGGCCCTGACTTTTCTACCGCAAATTACTCTCCTGCTATGCCTTACACTGTGCTCATGTTAGTCCTACGAAAACAAGGTATACCTTGGACATGGCTACCCTGGTCATCCAGATATGTCATGATTTGATAGTTCATCTCCTTATCTTCGATCATAGATTCAGGTGTCTCTACTTACTTGATCAATAACCTAACTTAAATTTTCACATTTAATTCATCGAGTTCTATGTCTGTTGTTGGCCCTCACATTGTTAATCCAAAATCGCCTCTTACTTATTTAAGTTGTAATATGTTCAAGATGTCCCATTTAATATGCTATATGCTAGTCGCTTGACGAAAATTATGAATTTCTCAATAATCTTTTGCCCATCTTCATGTGTTTATCTTCAAACTAAGAATACGATTAGCAGGGGATATGATTGTTGTAGTCTCAATTGACTTCATTGTGGTTATCAACCTATTGTCACCACTGCCGATGCTGCATCTGATGCATCACCTCTCAGTGACATTATATGTAAGGACAGGCACCTCTCAGGTTTATACAGTTAATCAATCTTGTCAACTAGATCTTTATCTAAACTGAAATGTTCTAGTGTTAGCTACGAAAAACAGCAGAAAACACCATAATTCGTCTTTTGAGATGAAAAGAAAATGATTTATAGTTCTCCATTTGAAGTTTTTCTACACTAATAGCTGGGCTCCTATTCAACTCAAAACAGTTTCTGATTTACATATTTTGTAGTAATCTACATTGATGATTATTATAGATTGACATGGGTTTGTAATGAAAAGACAATATGAAATTCCTCTTTGTACTCACAAAATTTAATCAAGAAATTATAAATCACTTTGAAAGTTCTATTGAAGTTTTGAGGCTTCATCATATCTTGAGATATATGCAAAATACTTTACAATACTACTATTCATCTTATTGAATTATTCAGCATACACACCATAACAAATATGGTACTCTTGAGAACAGTTGCCAGTTGCCACTCACTTGATTTGCTTTCCTATTTGATTCATATACATGATCCCAAAAGTTACTGCCTTACCAAGCTGATTTTCTTATCGCTGCATATTTTTTAATAAATTGTATGTCTTCTTCTGTCTTCAATGGTCAAACAACTTCTGTTGTTATGCATAAAAGACAAATTTATTTGATTTACCCTAAGAGTGTTCAGATATCCGTGTTCTGTTCATCTCTCAAAATCAGGATGTGATGAATTAGATTCACGGATTATTCAACATGTGTTTTTAGGCTATGCTAAAACTCAAAAAAGTTATCATTGTTGGAATCCTCGTACACAGAACCTATATTAGTCTAGGGCATGATGAAGCAAAATATTATGCAGATACTACACTTGCAGAAAATGAAATCGAATATGAGATTTAAAAGGATAAATTACCTATGGCATGGAGAAGGACATTTATGATTGTTACACCGAAGCTTCCTTCCACAAATCTGAAATGCAACCTTTTAGTGTAACTGTATGGAACAACATGGACAAAGTATTTATCAGAAATACCTCTGGGCATGATGGGCAATCCCCACCACAACAACGACGCCTACAAGCATGTCTCCCACAATCTCGCGTTCCTTGACATTTCCTCTCACAAACCAAATCTTGATAACAAGGAACCTATATTAGATTGAGGGTTAAATTTTGTTTCTTAAATTTAAAAGAAAAATAGTTATACTCACATGTAGTTAGTAACTTTCATATACTAAAAGACTAGAAACTATTCAACGATAAACTAGGTACAAATTACACTTTGAATGCCAGGAACCTAGAGACTGAGTAGTGAATGATAAGCACGTATTACTGAAGGATTTAAAGCATAAAATTATCTTAAAATTTTTGAGAAAGATACCACTGTTAGTGTTACCTCCTTAATGGAGAAAGATCCTTTCCAATGTCAAAACCGTGCAGTTAAAATTTGTTTAGAAGGCAAAAGTTCACTTTAATTTTCGTCAAATTATAGATCAGGTTTTTGCAAGTAAAGGACACCTTTTTGTTGACTGGTTTTTCTTGTTTCAAATGAGTTTATGTCTATATAGCACCGGTACTTTAAAGGAAAAGGTGTATTAGTACCGATACATATCACATACTTCATACTTGGACACTCAAATAATTGATGGATACATGTCAAATACTCTTTTGATCTAACATATGTAACATATTAGAGCCATTTTGTAGACATATTGTAGATGTATCCAAAAACACGTAAATTGGAATATATGAATGATGTAGACTCGAAACTCTTTTGATTTTGAAGTACCTTGCTTTTATATAATTCAAAAGTTCCTTGATAAATAATATAATTTTTTACATAATTGATAAACATGCAACACGCATATATATAATAAATATATAATTGTTATAATATCCATGACATATTACTATACTAAATTTCAAGGATTTGCCTTGTTCTAGGGCATACTTGGGTCCTAGTTTCTAGAATTTGTCATTTCAGTGTTTGGTAGCATCTTGCACCCTATTTTATATTTGTAGTCATGCTTTACAAGATTTTATATTTTTTAAGTCGTCCATTTCTTATATAGTGTTTCCATTAGTTGTTGTTCTGTATGATTTCCCTATAACCCACCTTTGTTCCCATTTCACTACATCCTTGTTTTCTGGATTATATCAGAAGATACAAGAAAATATGATTTCCTCCAAACACATGACGCTAGGATGCATTGAGAACCTTGTCTTGATAAAAACACAAATTCTTCTGAAATATGATGTCCAGACACTATAGATTGCCCTGAAAAGAGCTGGATTTTATGAAGATTCTGATACGTTCATATGGATGGGCACTAAGTAAGATGAGAATGGAAAATAACAAAACCAAACGAACTTAATTCAGAAGGCAACCAAAGTTAACCTTTTCTTGTTGTTAACATCAAATTATGGATCAATATTTTTGTAGGTACGGGACACATTTTTGCTGACTACCTTTTCTTGCTTCAAATGGATTTCTGTCTATGTCATACATTACACTTGAAAGGAGATGCTTTAGTATGGGTACTTATCCAATAGTTAGCACTTCGATATTTGATAGTCGCGGATACTCCTTTCTTGTATCCTATATTTTGCCACATATTCTAGATGTAACAAGGATAACATCGCACACCTATAGAATGTTAAATAAAAAGAATTGAATACATGAAAGGTGGATTCACAACTCTCTTTGTGTTTTGGATACCTTGTTCTTATATAACTTGTATAATTTAATAATAACGGATATCATTGTTCACATAAATGATTAAAAGATAAATAAATAATATATAAAATTCTATTATTGTTGTAACCATGATGTATTGATGCACATGTATATAATTATATGTAGATAATTATATTTATGGATGTATGCACGTATATGTGTGTGTATGCCTTTTGTTGCATGAATTGTACATATGTCTATTTTGTCAAATTTTGTTATATGAGTTATATCGCAGTGCCCATATCATATTGTATATATCCCATATCAATATTCATGTTATACAGGTTTCAATCTCTCTCTAAGTGGGGCATCCCTTTTATAGTTTTTCCATTAATTGATCTTAAGGATTTCCCTACTACCCACCTACAGTTCCCATTTGATTTTACTATATCCTTATTCTCTAAAGTACACCAGGAGGTGGGCAGAATTCAACTTTCCTACCAACAAAAACATTAGGAAGTATACATGGAGTGTTCTAGGTAAAGAATTATTATTTATGCATTATAGTATAGTTCAACTATACTATAATGCCAGAAATCAATAGAATAAGCAGTGAATTAATGGGTTCGCATTAAAGTGTAAAATCATTTAAAATCTTTAAGAAAGATACCATTCTTAATGCTCTTCCGGAGTGAGCATAGATAATATATTTCAATTTTTCAAAATGGTGTAGTAAAAAATATGGTCCAACAAAAGAAAGTTACGTCTAGGCACACACATGCAATTTGGAATTATACGAAACCAACCAAAAAAGTTGTTTTAGACATTAGTAAAGCAGTTAATTTGGAACACAGGAACATGTGGATGACCAGTCACATATGGTTGTCTTGAATCCCTTGAATATTGTGGATGCTAACTTGAGTCAGCTATAATCATGGTTGATTGTTAGATAGATGGACTTGAATCTTGCTCTTAGAACATTAAGTTCTTTTTTATTAAAATAATATGTTCATTTGCATTGTTCTCCAAAGAATTTTTCTTTAATGTGAACATACATACATACCTACACACGTACATAAACATACCCTGAGAGAGAGAGAGAGATGGGTATGCTTGGTACCAAGCACATAATTTGTGCTTGGTAGTGAGGTGGCATATTCTCCTCCACTCATTCAAATGGGAGGACCACATTCACATGGGTTGGGAAGTGCATGGGAACACCATATGAATGAGTGGATAGGAATGTGTCACCTCACTACCAAGCACAAAATTTATGCTTGGTACCAAACATACTCATTTTTCTCGTACGTACGCACGCACGCACACACTTACAATAGATTTTTCAAACCAGAAATGATTTCATTTACGTTTTTCTCTTCTGTGTGTGTGTGTATGTGTGTGTGTGTGTTTATTTCGACTATAAAAAAGTCGTTTTCTAATAAGTCTTGTGACTTATCTTCTTTGTCTCAAGCCTATGTTTTTTACAAATTATCACAAAATCAATTACTTAACAAGTATCATTTGAGATCTGTACTTCAATATCAGGGTACCTATCCTTTTCTTAGTGATATAATCAAGAATTATTGTACGACACGAGGAATATTTGATTTCAAACCAAGGTATAAGAAAATTCATAAGTCACATACACACACACATACACATACATACATACATACATACATACATACCACACACACACATACATACGTACGTACGTATGTCATGGTTTTAAATATCGGCCAATAATCCGATATTATCGCCGAGTTATCGGATTTGGGAGCTTTCCGCTAGGATAAGTAGGATTTTTAATCGGTTATCGTTTTTTGAGGTTTATCGACGAGTTATCGGCGATAAAGGCACTTATCGGCCGATAAGTAGGCTCTAAATATCGGTTTTATCGGCCGATAAGTAGGATTTGAGAGCTTTTACTTTCTTTTGGATTTGCTCTTTGAATGTTTACAAATTATGAACTATTTGTTACTTTTGGAATTTGGTTGATTGGTGATTAGCTTATGTTTGTTTATGGATATTGATAATGGCTCATAACTACTAAATATCAACTTAGTAAGTTAGTTTATGAATCTCATGATTAAACAATAATTATGTAGATGTGTAGATGATTCTTCATTCTTGATGTTATCTTATTATTTGCTTGTTTATTATTCTATTTTGACTAACATTATATTTTTTTTCAAGCTTATGTTTGTTTATTATTTGCTAGTATATTACTCCGATAAATACTACTTATCCCCGATATAATCCCCGATTTCCGCTATCCGAGAAGGATTTTGATCGTCCGATAAATCCCCGATAACCGATATTTAAAACCTTGACGTATGTACGTCTGTGTGTGTGTGTGTCTTACTCTTAGAATATTAAGTTCTTTTTTATTAAAATAATATGTTCCTTTGCATTGTTCTCCAAAGAATTTTCCTTTTATGTGAACATACATACATACTCTTTTTTATTAAAATAATATGTTCCTTTGCATTGTTCTCCAAAGAATTTTCCTTTTATGCGAACATACATACATACATACCTACACACGTACATAAACATACCCTCTCTCTCTCTCTCTCTCTCTCTATATATATATATACAAATTTCTAGGAGTATTATTTATGCAACCATATTTTGTTGTATCTCTAGCATTGCATATATAACCATATTCGTATTTCTTTATTGTTATATCCATCCCATACATGTGCTCTGTGTTTTCAAATTTTGCCATATCCTATATCTGTGTCCATGTTTACAGGTTCATGAAGTTCTCTAAGTGGTCATTTCTTCTATAGTGCTTCCATTACTCATTGTTCTCTAGAACTTCCCTATCATCCACCTACTGCCGCCATCTCACTACATCCTTATTTTCTAAAATAAATATGATTTCCTCAAAAATGATATTAGGAAGTATAATGTTTCTAGAGGTAAAGATAACTATGCAAGTAAAATAATAATGAACATTTTTACAGAAGGCAATCGAAAGCTCACCTCTTTCCTCAAGCTCCCACACCTACACCCCTTCATCACCACAGTCCGACACGTCTCCACGCACACCCCTCTATGGCACCTCTCCGGACACCTGTGCCTCCCGCAGGCCAACATCTTCTCGCATGTAGAACCACAATTTGGCACCTCAACATCACAAGCAACCCCTTTATACTCCTTCTTCCCACAAGGACAAGTCCTTCTCCCCGTCAACGGGCACTCCCCGCACTCCCCCTCATGGCACCCTCTCTCGCACCTATGGCGCCCGCATCTCAACATCCCCTCACACTCATTCTCACACTTAAAACCCCTCTCATAGCACTCCCTAATCTCCTCACTCTTCCCACATCCACACTTGTACCTCCCCTTCACTTTGCACGGCGAGCACGGGCCCTCGTGGCATTTCTCCGGGCATTTATGGGAGCAGAGAGTGCAGGAAGAAGCGCTTCTGAGCACACCGGCGGGTGTCGGGGCGGGATCCCCACAGAAGCACCTGGTCTTGACAACTGGGGGCAAGGGGGGCTCAAGGGCCGTGGTGGCGAGACGAGCGACGGCAGCGCGGTGTCCGCAGCTGGGGCTGAAGGTGGTCGGGCCGCAGTCTCGCGGCAGGGCGGAAGTCCAGGGTCAGCGATGGGGGTTCTCCGAGCTGCCGCTAGAGAAGAGGTAGGAGTCTGGGAGCTAGGAGATTTGGGAGAGGGTGACGGCACTTGGGCAGTGCCAGGTGGGGTGGAGGTGGGCGGTAGGGGCGGGGGCGGCGGTTAGGTTTGAGGGGTTGAGTCTGAGGAGGGACTGGTGGCCGGAACTGTGATTGGGAGGGAGGTGGAAGGACGGCGTGGGCAGGAGGAGCAGGACAGGTGGGGTCGAGGGCGGATGCGGACGATGGACCAGATGAGCAGCGGTGAAGCGTAGGAGGAGGAGGAGGGGGCGAGAAAGATTTGATTTGAGAGATCGCCGCCGCGCGGCGCGCGATGGAGGAGGAGGAGGGAGTTAGTGGTTGAGTTGAAGGTATGGTGTGACGATAGGAGAGAAGAGAGTTCTCGAGAGGAGGAGGGGGGGTGGAGGGATCGTCGGCGTCGCTGATGTGTGAGAATCGGAGTCCGAGGAGGACGGCGGCAGTGGGCGGCCATGGCGATAGGGATCTTCTGTTTCTTGTTTGGATCTGTTTTGCTGATGGGGGTCGTTGATACAGGGCTGTTTGGGATTCACAGTGTTATGACTTGGGGAAGGGAAGGAAGCAGTGTAAGATTTTAGATCAAATTTTCTTCTATTTTTCTCCTCTACACTTCTAAGGGCCTGTTTGTTTCACCAAGTTTATGGAATAGGAATGATATTTGGACCTGACAGTGACGTTTTCATAATTAATGGAATCCAACTGAATCCTAATCTCAAGTTTGGTTCAAAAAAAAATTATAGAATTGTTATTCTATAAAGTGGCTCAAACAGTGGTAATTTCAGGAAACCCAAATCCGTTCTTTGAGAGAGGAATTGGGCGTGCTTTCTGACACCTCTCCCAATTCTTATTCTAATTCCTAACGAAACCCTAGATCTGTTGATCCGTGGTTTCCCCGCTGTTCTTCCCCCGCCACAGCGCTCTCTTCTTCGCGCCTCTTCTCCCGCCGCTCGTCGTGGCTTGTGCGTGGTCGTGTCTGGAACTCGAAACCCTAGCTCTGGTTGAGCCATGGTTTTTTGCGGATTTAAATGTCGAATCGGCTTCTCCCTCTAAATCTGATCCCGCCTCTGGTTGAGCCGTGATTTCTTTGTTTTGCTTTCCAACTTCTTGTTGGTGGGTTCCTTGGCTTTGGTTGTTGGTGATCCCTTCTCGAACTGGTGTTGGTTCGGGTGGGTTTGTTGGCTACGGTGTTCATCTCGGCTTTGGTGGGTTTGTTGGGTTTGTTGCTTGGACCTCGACATTTTTGTCCCCTCTGCAGCTTCAGGTATACGATTTTCCCCCTCTTTTTGTTCGTAGTAATTCATTATTTGGGAATTTTAAAAAAGAATCGGGTTATGTTTACTAAATTTCAGTTAGTTGTGTAAAATATAATGCAATTGTTCGCATCGATATTGTTCTATTTAGTTAGTTGTGTGATGAATGGCAGTTATGATTACTAAATTTCAGTTAGTTGTGTTGTAAGGACCGTGATTTTTGATACTGGTTTAAATACTATTTCTGATATTTTAAAATATTTAATTATTATTTTTAAAGGAGTATCTGTATTTTTTCTTGATTATCTAGAATTTTCTATGATTTTAAAATCCAATTTCATATTTATTATTAATGGTATTGTTAACTATAAATTTAGTTGTTAAGGTAAAGATTTTTAAATTAATATTTGGATATTTACTATTGTATTATTATTATTGTCATTATTTGTTGTTGTTATTTATTATTATTGTTATTCACTATTCTTATTATTGTTATTCATTATTATTATTCAGAATATTATTTTGGAATTTTTTCCTCTTTTATTTTCTCATTTGAATTTGAATTCTTTCCATAACTCCAATCAATCAATTCCCTAATCACCTTTTAACTATTTCCTTTTCACTCCCTTAATTTTCTCCCCCGAAATCACGTGCATATCACTCTCTTCCCTTCCAAAAAAAAAGAGAAAATCTTTATTTTCTCCCCATACCCGTACACCCTCTCTCTCTCTCCATCAGTACAACCCCCAAAAGAAAATCCCCTCTTTTTCTTCTTCTTCTTCTTTCTCCCAGCACCGAACCCATCTCCACCACCAAAACCCACGAACCCAACACCGCTCCGCCTCCGTCGAAATCGCCGTTCACCGCTCGCCTCCGACCACAACCCCGACGAACCCGCGCCCAGCCGGCCTCCGCCTCACCTCGCCGCCACAGCAAACCGCCGCCGCCCTTAGCTGCAGCACCGCCGGCAAACCACCACCACGAACCGAACCCGTCGTCGCCACCAGAGCCGCCGCTCCTCCTCGCCGGCAACCACCCGACAGGGCAACCACCCGACAGTCCCGTCTCCTCCAGCTCCTGTTCGCCGTCTCCAGAGCCCCATCGGCCTTCCTCTTCCCGCTGTTTGCTGCCTCCGTCGACCCCTCCGACAGCCTCGACGTCGACGACCCCCAGATTCGCCTCAGATCCCGCTGCCCGTCGCTGGACAGCCCCTCGCCGGAGTTTCTTCGGACACCGCGCTCTCCGCGTTGGATCCGACCCTCGTCGTCAATGTCGATTCGTTCGACGAAACTCCGAGGCAAGATCCCGCTCTCCTATTTCGTAGTTTGGTTATTTACATTTTTATGAATTATTTGCATAGTTTAATTATGACATATTTATCTGCGTGAGATTGTTTGTTGAAGAATATTAATTATATCATGGTAATATGATAATGACATTTTTAGAAAAATTATAATGAATTAAAAGAATTTAGTTCGGCAAAAGAATCATTTTAGATAATTATAATAATTTAAAAGAATTTATTTTGGAAATGAATTAGTTTAGTTTAATTGTTAAGTGAAATAATTTAAAATGAATTTATTTAGAAAAAGATTATTTTCTGAATTATGTAGATGTTGTTTATGATTTATATTTCTTATTTTGATTATCTGATATGCTATGATATTATTGCACATGATTTGTTGCATTGATTGTTTCATGTTGTGATTGAGAATCATTAGGAGTTTATGACTATAGTGACCTGTATGACACAGTTAGGATCTAGAATCCCGTGTGTAGTTGAATTGGAATTACGAGAATTGGGATGAGAAATCTTGGTCCATGTGAGCGGTTGTGATTGTTGATGTATATTCCGGGCTCGCGCTGGTGAAGTTTGTGTAGTCACCGGGGTGGGTCCGAGGAGTTGTGATATTATGATTGTAGTTATTTTCCAGGCTCGCGCCAGTGTCTTGTTTCGGCCTGGGGTGGGTAGGATGGCTAGTTACATGACCTCGTTTCTTGGCTAAATATGAATTCTTGTGAGATGTAGGACAATTGTGTTTCTTTTCATACATAGATCGGGGTTGATATTTAATTATCTACAATTTGAGACATATGGTATATACATGAGGGTTTCCTTGTTTGGATTATTTCGCTCGACGTACTACGTCTCTTGTTGTAGATTTTTAAGTATTAATTCCATCTAGTGTATGCCCTTATGATTTGGATGATTAGACTGATCGCTAGCTGCATGATCTCGTTACCTGATCGATTTTGGATGCTTTATGTTATCATGATTTAGTAGTGTTTTCATGTTGATTTGTGGATTTCAGTTGTACGTTCTTTTGTTGTTTCTGTTATCGTATCGTTTTTCGCGTTGGATTTCCGTTCGTTCTATTTTCTTTGTGGGGTCGGGTCTTGCCGTGCGCCATGCACCTGACGTACACATGTTTTCTCTGGTGTACGCCAGACTTAGATGAAGAACAGGTTCAGCTGGGAGATCATTAGGAGCCAGAGGATTCTCAGCAGGAGTGCCCTGCAGACGGATCAGAAGAAGCTGAAGCTTAGTTATTGGTCCTCCGTTTTCTTTTGTACTACCTTCCATTTCTATTTGATCAGTGTATTTTGTATCTTTTCAGTATTCATTTGTTCATATTTGTATAAGGGCATGTTTGACCCGTATTTTATGTCTCGGATGTTACCCCATTTGTGATATGATATTTCTTTATTCTGAGTTTGTCTATTATATTCTTGCTATCTGTGATCGGGGACCTGTGACTTCGCATTGTACTTATTTCCAGACGCTTAGCGTATTGGATTGAGAAGAAAAGAAAAGAGAAAAAAAAGTAGAGTATATTTCTTCTCAATCTAATACGTCGCGGGCTTGTTCACGCTCCGGTTCCCGTGTATTTTGGGAAGCGGGGCGTGACAGGTTTTTTTGGTGGCCCATGCAGGTCACGGTCCCGAGTCCTCACTAGTAAGAATATGGTAGACAACTTAGATACATATCATATTTCATCCGTGAGACTATCCTTGAGCCCTTATCCTATTTTCTTGATAGATTTCATTTCAACCCTACCTAATCACTTTTTGACTCCGGATCTTTCCACTATTTCTTGTCTCGTAACTTTCCATTGTTCCTTGTTTCTTGTCTCCTTTGTTTATGGATATCGTCCCATATCTGTCCTTTGGTTTTTATTTTAATTCCGAGGACGGAATTTGTTTTAAGGGGGGTAGAATGTAAGGACCGTGATTTTTGATACTGGTTTAAATACTATTTCTGATATTTTAAAATATTTAATTATTATTTTTAAAAGAGTATCTGTATTTTTTCTTGATTATCTAGAATTTTCTATGATTTTAAAATCCAATTTCATATTTATTTTAATGGTATTGTTAACTATAAATTTAGTTGTTAAGGTAAAGATTTTTAAATTAATATTTGGATATTTACTATTGTATTATTATTATTGTCATTATTTGTTGTTGTTATTTATTATTATTGTTATTCACTATTCTTATTATTGTTATTCATTATTATTATTCAGAATATTATTTTGGAATTTTTCCCTCTCTTATTTTCTCATTTGAATTTGAATTCTTTCCATAACTCCAATCAATCAATTCCCTAATCACCTTTTAACTATTTCCTTTTCACTCCCTTAATTTTCTCCCCCCCCCCAAATCACGTGCATATCACTCTCTTCCCTTCCCAAAAAAAAAGAGAAAATCTTTATTTTCTCCCCATACCCGTACACCCTCTCTCTCTCTCCATCAGTACAACCCCCAAAAGAAAATCCCCTCTTTTTCTTCTTCTTCTTCTTTCTCCCAGCACCGAACCCATCTCCACCACCAACCCCCACGAACCCAACACCGCTCCGCCTCCGTCGAAATCGCCGTTCACCGCTCGCCTCCGACCACAACCCCGACGAACCCGCGCCCAGCCGGCCTCCGCCTCACCTCGCCGCCACAGCAAACCGCCGCCGCCCTTAGCTGCAGCACCGCCGGCAAACCACCACCACGAACCGAACCCGTCGTCGCCACCAGAGCCGCCGCTCCTCCTCGCCGGCAACCACCCGACAGTCCCCTCTCCTCCAGCTCCTGTTCGCCGTCTCCAGAGCCCCATCGGCCTTCCTCTTCCCGCTGTTTGCTGCCTCCGTCGACCCCTCCGACAGCCTCGACGTCGATGACCCCCAGATTCACCTCAGATCCCGCTGCCCGTCGCTGGACAGCCCCTCACCGGAGTTTCTTCGGACGCCGCGCTCTCCGCGTTGGATCCGACCCTCGTCGTCAATGTCGATTCGTTCGACGAAACTCCGAGGCAAGATCCCGCTCTCCTATTTCGTAGTTTGGTTATTTACATTTTTATGAATTATTTGCATAGTTTAATTATGACGTAATTATCTGCGTGGGTTGTTTGGTGAATAATATTGGTTTAAATAATAGATATGTGATAAATAGT